TTCTGTAACAGCACCATAGTTTTTAGAGTTACATACACACACACACACACACACACATAAATTACATTAATGTGCATGAGATTTATCACTGTGATTATGTAATTTCAGGTTACCACATCTATGAACTGATGTGTGCCAACATACTGCATGAAGGTAAGTTACACAGTCAGTCAAAAATGAGTGAGCAGTCTTCTCTTTTGGAGAACAGTGTCTATTCTGTGGGAACTGATAATATTTTGATGTGGATAAGTGAAGTCAAGTACCTATGTTATACAAAGGAGATGGTTTGTGAATTACTGCTTGTGTGGATTATTAATGGGAGATAATGCTAAATGCTGACATCTACACATCCTTTGATAACATGAAAGGAAATACAAGAGAAAGTTTGGGAAGTTAATAGTACAGAAGCCTACATAACAAATGATGAGAATTCTGGCTATATTCTCAGTGGATGTCACAGATAATGTGTGTGTGTGTGTGTATGCTCATGCATATATATATATATATACACTCAACTCTCGATTATCCGGGGGCGGATAAACCAGTTTGTGGCTTAACTGGGGCTTTTTTGAGGCTTATATGTTGTTTGATATTCGTTCACTTTTGTTTCACATGGTGAGTTGTAACACTATTTTTGCACTAGTATGAACCAAGCTCTGCATATTTTGGTCCCGTTATGCTAACACAATGTTCTAGGGTAGGGGTGAAAGAATGCAAGGATTTGTGGAAAGTTTCAAGGACAGATACACCGCCCCAGTTAGTCTCTTTGTATCGATCTTCAAGTGCGTTAGCAAAATGTCAGGGTGTAAAAGGAAGCGTGTTGTGTTAAGTACATAAAAATGAGGTTGAATAAATTTAAATACAGGTAGGCCTATAGTATTATGAAGGTACAATATTACAGTACTACTTTTAATAAAATTTGTCTTAACCGGGTTTTCGATTATCTTTGTACAAATCACTTGCAGTCTGGGGAAGAACAGCAGACTGTCTTTCATCCTACAGGATGATATCAATCATATCAGAAATTAATCAGGTGACCCCAAAGGAAGATACAGCAACCAGGCTATAATTAGTAATACACAAGGTAAGTATGAATATCCTCATGCATTTAATAATCCTCATTAACAGATAAAAATACAAGCAGGCAGTAAAGTAATACACCCTCATCACTTCAATAGTATCATAAAACACTCGTATGAGTAAAAATGTTCCAAACATCTCACACAGTTTAAAAACATCTGACCATATGTACTGTCTTGTTTAGTCAGCTTCATCAAGTCTGTGTTGTTAGGCTTCTCCTAGTAGATGATGAAAGAGAAGAAAAAGGCATTCAAATGGATGGCAAAGAAATATGTTGGGCACTTCTGAATATGGTAATGAACTAACAGGGTCCGTAAAATGAAGGGAATTTCAGGACTGGTGGAACAACTTGTGGGTTGTCAGGAAGGACTCTGCTCCAGGGAGTTAATTATTAGGTACATCTCTCAACAGTGCTGGAAGTAATTGGTACCAGGACTGTATAAAGTTTGGAAATTTCTTTATATATTTAAACTAGTCATAATTTGTAAAAGATTACATTTAAACTAGGTACATTTATTTCATGGCTTTAATATTGAATAAATATGGCAAAACCAACATCATCAGCTCCCTTACTTTGTTGGCCCCTTAGTGATCACTTCCTGGTTGGATAGTAACTTCACCTAGGAGATATATAGGGAATTATTTTTATAGTTTTCATGTGATGGAGGAAACAGAGTCAAATTCTGAAACATAGTGGGTTTTGTATATATATATAGTTGGAATGACTGACAGAAACTAAATATCTTAAATACCGCATCACACCACCACCAAAAACGCAGCATGTTCCTCTGAAACACTTTTAAACTTCTACCAGACTACACAGTGTCACATCCAAGAAGATAAAACTCTTCACAGTCATTACCTTAAGAACCTCAAACAATTTTATGGAAAAACATGCATTATCTGAACTGGGAAGATATCCTAAAGTAGGGGATCCAACATGGTCCACCAGTTGGCTTCAAGGGTGACAGTAACATTCCAGTCTCCAAATTATGCATTCACTCTTTGCTCCTCTTTGAAAAAGGCAGTGAATTTTGTCAAGTGATTGAAAGTCAGCCAAATAAATTTTGACTTTAGTTGTGTGACCTATAAGCAGAACCATTTCTGGACAAAGGAGCTGAAATCAGTGCACATTTCTCCAAACTTTATTCTCAAAAGAGCTCAGCCCAAATTTAACACACTTCAGCTTAATGATGTCCAGGAGTACCTATGCATGTGGCAGTTTCATCTCAACCATGAAGTATACAAAATCACAATATCATTCACAAACACATCACCCTCTTTCCAATTTATCTCGACTTGCTGCTATTGAAACAAATGTTGGTAGACAGACAGAATGCCTGTCTATAGTGTTCAACATGAAAACAATTCAGAGCTGGTGTTTAATCTATTTTCTCATAAGCAAATGCACTGAATTTTTCTAATTTTGGTAGGTAACACTAATAAATGTTTTTGAATTCTATGAGCCCAATTCTTATTCTTATACTCCGATTTCACATATCTTGTCACTGCATGGCAGATGTATGTATATACATTTTTTATAATGCAGTCCACAGGTAGGTACCTAACATACAACACAGCCCCTCAGAGGTGAGAAGTTGGAAAGTTCTGCCCTGCAGGAAGATAGGAAAAGACAACATTCAGGAAATGGCAGAAGAAAGGATGGTAACATGAAAGTCAGAGAAAACACCAGATTTTGTATCCATATCTGCATGTGGTCTCATAAAAATTTTCACCATTGTGAGTGGATATTTCTGAGGGATGCAATAAAGGTACAGAATGCTTATCAGAGTGCACAAAGCCAAGATGATCTTAAGCACAAGGCATGACATTTTCAGCAGTTTCATCGGCAAATCTTGGTTCCTTGAATGTATCTGTTTGCATTGTCTTCTTAACTTACAATAACAATCACCATTTTACTTCCATTTTTCTAGCTCTGTGATTCTCATTATGGTCAATGCTCTACTTTTGCTTCTACATTATAACTAAACCTGCATACAGTAAGTTGAAATTATAACAACCGTTTTCAAGGAACTTAACAAAGTATCATCCCTTTCTTTTTACACTTTTTTATGAAATTAAGCACAAAATATTTATATAAGGCCTAAAGTGCACATAACTAAATGTTAAATTTACTGTATTGAAACATGTGTAAATACTTTTATAACTGTATATAAAATGCTTTTGTTTATATATGCTTGGCAATCACAAGAACAACAATGACAATAAAGAAATAATTATTTCACTGCTAGAATATTTATTTAATTCTAACTTTGCATTTGACTAACTGTATAGTTAAAACACCCATGTACTTGTTTCAGAACTGCTGAAGAATATGAATTTTGAGAGCTAGAAGATGGGATGGCCATATTTTCGAATAATACTAAGGCCACAGAAAGGAGCCACACTGATAGTGGAAATGACGGGAATGCCTACTGTTGCGTGACTCTCCTAACCCATGTGGCCCATGTCAACTACTCCAAAGCACTTGTTGTTAATAAAGGTTATCACTACAAACAACTTTGTGAACAGACGGGAGAGGGGAGGGGAATAGGAAAAGGTTGCTAGAGGGGGGGAGTGTTAAAAGTGTGAGGGGCACATCTACTGGACTTCTATTGCCTTCTGTAGAGGTGAGTATGAAAATGACATTTGACTACTAGGATTAAAATGAAAACTGAAGTTCTCAGTTAGAAAACCATCTTTAGTACCTAATTCATACGTAATTTTAAGGCCACCTAATGACTACTGTTTGTCTGTACATCTGTGATTGAATAAAATATAATTTTGCTCCTAATAATAATATCTTATCTACAATAACAGATAAATGGATCTTAATGCTAAGACTGATGGATATGCAGTCTCCCTGTTGTGAGATTCTAATAATACAGTGCCTCATTTTCAGTACAGTATGCACAGTTCATCAGAGAAAAGAGGTCACACAAGAATCCAATTAAAAAGGGTGTGTCATACCAGAACAATTATAAAACGTATTATCAACAAAACAACTGATTACCAATAGAGGATATAATTAATGTAACTTTAAGTCTACTATGAGAATGGTCAGTAAAAAAAAAAAAGACTGCTTCATGCCTGCTAAAAGGAACTGATAGATACCATTAAATAAACAAAAGTAGTACTGTTGTAACACAGTAAAATTTGATCAACATGAGGATGCAGAAATGTAGGAGTCTTCTAGGAATATCATAGGCTACACTCATGTACTCTGTGTTTTCCCTCTAAGACTAAAGCTGTTTATATGTATTACATGATTCACAAAATTTTGATTTCAAACAATAACAAACAAATATAATTCTATGTGGTGACAGCCTCATACTGACTACTGATGCAAACAGCTGCTCATATCTGCATATGAGACTATGCACTGTAAACCTGAGATTGATACAACACATTGGGAACCATGGGCTGATAGGCAACCTCCACTGGCAAGGTTGCAGGGATCAGATTAAGACTGTGTCCACTAGCAACATTACCAGTAAGCAAAGAGCTTCCTGAAGTACCTACAAACACTGGAACTCCAGTGTTGCCAACATTAAGATTAATCATATGAACTAGCTGAGCTTTTCTAACCCCAGCAACATCAATGCTGCACGACTGGTCTGGTGTCTTTAAGACAACTGGCTGCACTGTATTGGCTGCAGCAGTTTCAAAAAGGTTGCCCTGCAATGCGAGCGTGGTACAGTTGTCACTACTTCCAGAAGAGTTCATCTGTCCCTGCTTGCAAACAGCAGCAGCTCCACCGAGACCTGCTAAGGTTTCAGAGATATTTCCCTGATCATTCCCAAGAATACTGCCAGGAACTCTAACGTCTTGTCTTGGTAAAGTTTTAGAATCCTGCTCTACTCCTGCACCAGTATTATTTCTGCCAGCAAGTGTCAGTGGAGAGAGAAAGACAAAATTACCAGTAGCTGACGTCGTCAAACTATCCGAAGTCGTAGTAGAAGGCTGAGAGGAAGTGTACCCTGAAACCTGCAACACATGCACCAATGTACCAACATTTAAAAAAAAAATTATGTGCTATTATTATAAAGTAAACCAGAAACATTACCACTAAAAAATATATTAAGCTTGCACATGCACTGAATTAATGCACAGTTTTAAGAGTAGTCACTGCTCTCACAGGCGCGTTAGCTGCAGTCCGACGGCGGAGCTGGACTCTCGAAGAACATTATGTCACATACATAAAAACTGCTAAGGAGGATGACAACTCAAACGATCAAGAAAGGTGTTCAAAGCTCATTTCAAAATTTACAATGCAGGACACCTTCTCTAAGTGACACCACACAGGTACTACCTGAAGTGGAGGGTGTGTCACAAATTCTCTCTCTGTACCTAGCACCACCCCATTATGATAATTCTGACATTATGTCACCAAACATCATTGCTAAGGAGAAGAAGAAGAGGAGGAGGGGGGGAGGAGAAGAAGAAAAAGAAGCTACTTCAGATGTTTATGTGGTAAAGTATTTAACTCTGTTTCACTGTGTCACTGGATGGAAAATACTGTGGTTAGAGATATAGCCTGGTTTTCAATTGATACGTTTAATAAGGAGAATTCTGTGATGCACTTGTAACATGAGAGAAATAGGGCAAGTGGAAGGGAAGGGAGGATGGGTTCTGCCTGAGGAGATCATAGAAACATCTCATCCGCTCTCTGAAGGAAAGAAACAAGGAGGTTCTCTGCAAGGATGATATTCCTCCTGGAACAATTTCCCTCTGCTTGGGCCACTGGGATAATCAGCATGGACCCTGAGAAGAGCTGTCTTTTCTTAAAACTTCATCATTCCATTGAACTTATGTGAGGAAAGAATATGGGGAGGCCAAGAACAACTGTCTGAAATTGCTATTTTCTACCTGCTGTTCCCATTAGCCCCTTACTCTCTTCCTTGAGTATCAATGCCCACCTTCCTAGTAACCTGTCTGTATAACTGAGCTAATTCCTCATGCTATACAATTCAACCCTGAAGATGGAAGCAGTTAAGTTCTTCCAAAATGTCAGAAACAGCCTAAAAGACTATATGGTGTCCAAAAAAACACACTCTGAAAAATTACGACCATCATCACCTCTAAACTACCAGAGGGAGTGGATGTGAAGGCTCCATACATTCCTAACCTCATGACTTGATGGAGATGGCAAAGTTGTCCCTGTGCTTAACTAATTAAGCACTACGTGATGAAGGCGTATGAGGCAGTGGATGTATACACGGTGTGTCCAGATTGTGTTAGGACTGTGTTCATTAAAAATACAAGATGTGAATTATTTTCAAAATTTCACTCTTTTTATTCAAAGTCTCCTTTCAAAAAGTCACTGTACTCCTTTTGTGGAATCACATTTGAAACTGTGGTACATTCCATTTGGATGTCCTGGATGGTGTCATGACGGTTTCCTTTCATCGCCAACTTAACTTTTGGGAACAACCAGAAATCTGCTTGAGCCAAATCTGGCAAATAAGGAGTGACCAGGAACCTTGCTCTCGATATTCAGGTTGAATTTGAAGAATTCTCGCCCACAAACGACTGAGGACTCCGAGATAATAACAAGAATTCACTGTCTGACTTTCTGGCAAAAATTTCTTGTGAATGATTCCTTTGGAATCAAAGAAAACGGTTAGCAGTGTCTTTACTCGACTCTTTTGCACGTGCATTTTCTTTTGTTTCGCCTTCTTTGGGCTCAACCACGCTGCACTCTGCTGCTTTGTGAGAGGCTCATATTGAAAACACCACATCTCATCACTAGTAACAATCGATTTTGTAAATTTTGTATCATTTTGGTCCGACTGTAACATTGCAGTGTTCCACTCTGGCATGTTCATACAGACCTTCCATTTGCCCAAGTCCTCGGTCAAAATTTGATGCACAGTACTTTTTGGTATTCCCAAAAGCTCCTCGATGAGTCTTGCAGAAACACATCTGTCTGATGCAAGGATTTCGGTCACTTTTTTCACATTTTCTTCGGTGCGACTTGTTCTTGGCTTTGATGCACGTGGAGTGTCTTCAATGTCCTCTCTGCCGTCAAGAAATACAGCACACCATCGAAAAATGTTCAAGCGACTCAAACAATCACTACCATACACACTTTTCACCATTTCGTACATTTCTCCAGCTGTTTTGCCTAACTTCAAACAAAATTTGATGTTGGCTCTCTGTTCAACCGCCATTTTCCGACGAGCATCAGAACAGTACTGTTACATTCAAAGTCAGGACACATGACGCAGAGATGCTTGCGCTTTGAAATTACAGACAGCCACAGCTGAAACTTCAAGAATCTTAACACCACAACTCGCCAACAGATGGCATTGCAGAGAGAAAAAAAAAAAAAAAAAAATGAGTCCTAACAGATCCTAGACACACCGTGTAGATCCACATTTTCTTGAACTTAGGACTAGCTGGAGGTGAGTGGTCAGCTTCACACCCTGGCCGCTGTACCCGTGGAGAAAGAGCCCCCAGTACCCATAGGACAGGGGGCTAGGTTGGCCCCAGAGGTGGTCTGGAAGAAGTGGAGAAGAGAAAATTCTTGACCCTACAATCGCTCAGCCTGTAGCCAGTCACTATACTGACTATGCTCTTGATGGAGACAACTGACCAGGTTCAATGCAATGTTCACAGCATGACATTTCTGTTTCATGTATTTTTTGGGGGGGGGCTGCAATTCTTCTCCTAGGTCATATCCTTGTGAGATATGCAGCAGCTCAACAGTTGTAATTTTCTGTACTATCTGTATTCAAACTTGATATACACCCCTTTTCCCTTACTCTATCCCCTCCCTTTGGCCACTGGTCTAACCTGTGTGGCTATAACGGGCACCCCCAGTTATTCACATGCAGCTGCAGAAGCAGAAAGAAGGGTGGCTAATCGGGACAGCCTAGCTTTGGCCCTGAGGGTCAATGGCACTTCAATTCCATTAGTCTGGCTACCTTTATATCTGATTTCTTACCTTGTTTTTATTCAACCAGTCCCTCCACCCTCTGGCATTACTTACGAGTATCTTGATTTGCATTTATGTATTATTCCTGTAATCTGTATCTTTATACTGGCCCCCAGCCCACACTATTTACTGACTGTGCAAGCAAAGACAAATTACATCAAGGTTGGTATCTACAACTGTTGACCACAGCAACTTACTGCATATGTTTAATTCAAACCCACTAATTTCCAACAAATTGTGTTTACTGATGCATTTGTGTGTTTCCCTCTGCCAAGACACTACCACGGAGAAACAAAATGTCTAAGGGTAGTGGATGAGATGAGGAGATGGTTTGCAGTTT